TTGATTGATGAATAACTCTTCATGTGATATGATGATTTTGTAAATGAATGTTTTTAGACATTTAATAATTACTTCAAGGTTTATTTTATTTCAGATGCCTCTGGAAGATTTTAGAAAAATTCAAGTGCAAATTCTATTTAGAATAATCCTGACATTACATTTAAAAATTCTCCAGCATTTTTAGGAACTGTGATATATAGATATGTCACTGAATTTTAAATGAGAAAAATTAGGATAAGTTAAACTATACAATTTCTTACATCTGACTTAAAGTTCATGGTAACTTTGTTACTTGAAACACACATCTGAAGGTATGAAGCAAAATTTATCGCCAATACAATTATAGATTCACACCCAGCATAATAGATTATGCTCTGTGAGCAACAGTTTAACTTTTATTTTTGTTGCTAGTGTAACATATGCAATCATATTAATTAGGTCTAAATAAGTTTATTCCTGAAAGAGTCTTCAATTGCATTAATTCTTGAATACGGAATTTAAATATAATTGAGCAAAACTCATAGCACACATTAATTTTTTTGTTTGATTTGTATGTGATAATTAAAAGAAAATCAAGAGAAAGTTAGATTTAGTTACCTAAATATTCATATATTTTGTATGATTGATAGTAGTGGAGTCTTGGAAATAATTCATATAAGGGGAAAAACAACACAAAATGTTAGAATTGGAACAATTATATCTTCAATAATTAGGCTTACTTCAGCTAGAATAACTGAAACTCATTATCAAAGTTGGTGGCTTAGAGGTTTATATGGGATGATCTGGTAGGCTCAGCTTTTTACTTACTTGCTAAATTCTAACTGTATAAAATAGTATCCCAAAAGCCAATCTTGGTTGGCAATTTTATACAGAGAAGTCATGAATGGGAGATTTCTACCAGTCCTCACTTGATCTGACCAGCATTTCATCACAAGATGTGTGATGGAGTCTCTTATTTTATTTTGCTTTTTATTATTTTGTCAAGATTATTTATTGTACAGATAAATAAAAAGTTCTAGTTTTCAGTGCACTTAAAGATTTCAGAATCGATAGGATTTTTAAAGTTAATAGTATTTGAGGAAAAAAAGCAATGTTATATAAGAATCAGCAGGTCATGGACATGATGCCAAATGTGGATGACTATTGTAAAATGGTATTTTACAAAGAATTTATAACTTCTTTGCTCTGTGGAAGATAATTCCATATTAACTCTGAAGAGATTTGCAGTATGAGACAAATTACTATTATGTGAATACATGAGATATCCTTGAAGATTTGTTATGGGACTCAAAATCACACTCACCCTGTTATAAAGACATACATACACACATACATACATAAAGAATTTTATTTAAAAACCAATAACAATTTTATTCACAGATTTTTTATTATTAACATGAAGCTGTCATTTATATGTATGTATATGTGTGTGAATATGTATTTGTACATGTATATTTCTATACCTATACAGATACCTACACATTGCTTTGGCAGAAATAAACAAAATATTTGAAAAGATGTTAACAAGTTTAATTAGTAAATCATTATTCATGTCAATTAAATTTTGAATTATAATGTATTTAGCTCTAGCAAATAAGAAAACTTTTGAAAATTTTGCATCCTAATTTTAAGGTAAATATCATCTTGCATCAGAAAGGTGTCCATGAGAATTTTGATTCAACTGATAATCTCATTCTTAATAGTAATTAAACTTGACGTGGGAGAAAATAAAACAGAAAAGTAAGATGAAAAGCCTTAAAGTCTACCATGTATTTATGTGTTATTTACACTTAAGTCCTTCCTCTGAAGGTGAGGTAAAGGCATTGATTTAACCTTTGGATTCACATGATTACTGCCACTTTATACTTGCATGTGTCTTTGATTTCTACTAAAACTGAAGCACACAGTGTCCTGGAAAAGCTTATTACACTGGGTGATGGAACATTTGTCATTTGTTTAAAACCCCAAACCTAATTTATTTCCTTGTGATTTCCATAGGCTTTTCTGAAGTCTTCATTGCACCACACTTTCCAAAGGAAGATTATATGATATTCTGGTATTTCATGAGAAAAGTGAAATTTGACTAGTTTTGTAGGGGAAATAAACAGTGTGCACCAATTTTGAAAAGGAGCATTTCAACATTTAGCTCTATTACATATATTTAAGGAAAAGTATCTCTGAGTAAATGTTTCTTGAAGATAATTTGTATGTGACTGCTGAGATTTACAGAGTTCTCACATTTGCTTCCCCCACAAGGATTCTAAATCAGAAGGGTTCAGAGGAAAAGCCAGCATACCCCATTTTTCTAATATTATCACTTCTCCAGATGGTCCTGAAAACATCTATTCAATTGATTTTTCCTAGAAAGTAGAGGTGCCTTATTAGATATGTGTGTACATCAACTACAAAGGCTGCCTTCTTGTTCTTACTTCTTTTTCTTTCTCATTTAACATATCAAATCTCTCTCATCCCCTACCAGGCAAGATGACAAGCAGAAAGTAAGTACAGTGATTGCCTGAAACTTTGTCTTGGCAACCTGAGCAATGAGAGAGTTAATGGTGGATCTTTGAAAACAAGTGACCATGGGAAATTAGGGTTGGCAGGGATTTAACTCTTCATGAATCATGCTGGAATATTTTTAAGGGCAATGCTATGGATGTTTTAACAATGTTTGACATCTAATTAAGGAGGAAAAGAAGTAGCTAAAAAAAAATTCTCCATTATAGTTTAGAAACAAAGTAGTAACAACTGACTACCAGGCATTTGCTTTGGCAAAACAAGTGTACATGTAGGCACAAAAAGTTAATGACAGACCAATAAAATGACAGAAGAAAAATTGCTCAGGCTATTCCTTTTATTCTCTTTGCTGTTGCTCATTTCACAGCTTATTTTACCAAATTGCCAAGCTCTAGGTATAGCAATAGAATCGTTATTTAGCTGTAGGGAAGTTTGTGATTTAAAGCAAAGCAGAATAACTTTAATGGATGCCATTGTTAGAAGAGAGTTTATAAAGACAGTGCCAAACATATACATCTTGTTAATATACACAACTTACTGCATCAGGCAAGAATAAAGCATTTCTATATAACAAAGGGGATTTCTAACTAAATGCTATTCTTTTAATATAGAAAAAGGACTGATGCCTCCTATATAATGGAGAGTAAGGTGTTACCATGGAAATAAAATTTTGACAAATAAATAAGCGTAATTCTCTATTTTTATTTTACAATTTACTTAGCTCTTAGACAAGTATTCCCAAGTCTACTAGATTTTTAAAATGTATTTCATGCTTTCAAACTTGTTATCCGAAAATTATAGCATTAAGTCATTCACATCTTTAAGAACTGAACTTGCACATAAAACTTAGATATAAGAAATATAAACTTCGATAAAGTGAACCATCAACCTAAGAATTATTTGACAGCCTCCTCTCAAAGAGTGAAATAAGAAAGCAAAAACTGATGAAAACACAGAGGTCAAAATACTATATCCTAGAGATAAGTACTAAATAGATAATAAAAATGTAATTAGATACTGAATACATGCTATATGATTATTTTTTCATATTGCATAATGAGTGCAACTACAATTATATTTGTCAGTTTAAAATCCAACTCCAATTTAATAACCAGAGAATATTATGCCAAAATATATTTATTTTCCAATTCCATGTATTTTATTGAAAAAGTATTAAATCCAAATAAACACATATAATAGGTGTTTAATTTTCCAATTCAAAGTGTGAAAATTGCATCTCTCTTTCCTATTTGTGGTCCTCATTCACACTACAGCCTTCAGAAAGAGATGTTCCCATCATGTGAAAATTAAACAGTGTTTTCTGGCATAAGAGCAATGTACAGTAGACAGACAATTCTACAGATAGTTTCAATAATTTTCTCTCACATTACAGTCTAAATATGGAATATAGTTGAAGCTGCTCACTGTTCCACCCCCAATTCTAGAAATCTGAGAATAAGAAAGCAACACCTTAGGGAATAAAACTACTTGAGTTAAAACGGTTTAATCTTCAACTCCATTTTAATAATACCTCCATAATATAAATATTCTCTTCCATTAAAAGTCACCTATATTCATATGTGTAACTGTGAAATCTATGTAAGCATTGCTTAATGCACATATCCATAAAGTCTATTTAAAGAAATGCAGAATAAATATTTTCTTTAAAATCCTCATAAAATAGCATATACATACACATTAAACTGTGACCAAATAAAGTACTAGCAACCATGTGATAAAGCTTTTTTTTCCTCTCTGAAATTGATCCCCTTTTTTGAGAAGTTCACACAACTAGCTGTGCAAGTAGAAAGTATGTCTCTTCCATTCTCACTGAAGTACATATGGAATTAAACATATAACATTATATTTCAAAGGCTTTAGCTTTACACCAATTAGTCAAATACACAGTCTTTTGTACAATCATAACACACTGTGGAAAAACTAGTCTGTTCTCTCCAGTTTATATTCTCTTGGCAAACCATGATCTACTGCTTATGTTAAGCATCTGATTGTCAGATTTGAACAAACTGAATATTCATGATGATGATTAACCATTTAGTGTCGAAAACTAAAAAAATACAATCTATCATAATAATTATTGTAGGGGATGCATGCACATCTACAAAGAGACCATTTTTGCAATACTGGTTTAAAAAATATTTTAATAGAGGTAGAGTCAGAAAAACTAGCAGGATATATGATCACATATACGGAGGATCAGCATTTACTGGGCATTCTGCTCTTCTCTGCAAATGTGATTAAATGTTCTTTGTTTGCATTTAAATTGTCATATATCAAACAGAAGACATGCTTTTCTTTTAAAAAAAAAAAGTGCTTAAATCATCTTAGAAAGACACACAGAATCACATAGGTTTCCCAGGTTAAACTAAAGATTTTATGGTTTGGGTTGGGAGGGAGTTCAAGAAATGAAAAGGCAGAGGTCAGGGGAAAGCCAGACAAATAAAAGAAAAATAAAGACTTACCTTTGTAGGATAATTTCAGCCTTGGCACATTGTTCTTCCCATTTTGATAGTTTGCTCTGGCTGTAAGTAATACTCCCCAGAAAAGACAGACAATCCTAGCGAACCAGCCCATGCTGCAGAGACTGTGAGTCCCTATGCTGCTTCAGTCTTCCCTCCTGTATTGTGCGGCCAGAGAAGTTCAAACAATCTGGAAACTGGAGGTAACAGGTGATTTAGGTCAGTTTCATTCATAAATGCAGACAATCAAGACCTCAAGGCAACACTAACACCTCTTCTTCTGTAACAGTCACTGAAGCACAGAAACTTCAAACCCTCCAAAAAGAAAAAAAAAAAAATCGAGCCAGGCACCGGATAATGAGGCACAACTGTTGTGTGCGAAGAAAAAAAATTAACAAGGGCTGCTGCAGTGGTGCTTAAGAAGCAGTTCCTTTTATCTAGGCTCTTCTGATAGCCGGTGGCAGACTCTAATCCTGCTCTCTGCTTCATTCGGCTCCGGGGAAGCAGAATGAAAGGGAAACAGAGAAAGAGAGGGAGAGAGAGAGAGAGAGAGAGAGAGAGAGAGAGAGAGAGAGAGAGAGAGAGAGAGAGGAACCTTGAGCAGCGCGGACTTTTCCTGTACACATGTAGAGAGAGATGACACAAGATCCCACAGACAGGTTTTCCCAACACTCACTAGACTGGCTGACAATGGGAGAACAGGCAAGCTCAACCCACTCCCCTTCCCTCCTGTCACACAACACATGCAAAAAACATCTCGTAGAGATTAGAGCCGGGAGCAGAACCCTCCAGCGTGCCTGTGAAAGGCATGTAGCTATAAATTTACTTCCCAAGGCAAGCGTTGTTTTATAGCCATTTGTAGGTGCAATTTTGATTTAAAAAATCTGAATTTTGCTACCTACATAATTTACAACTCCTGCCCATTATGTCATTGTGCCGAACTTGGCATTATGTGTGGACATGTATGTATATGTTTATATCTATGCACACATGCATAGAGATGTAGAGCCTTTTCATCAACATAACTTTAACCACTGAAGGTTTTAAAGCCTTGTTAGAGATCATTTCCTCCTCCCAACAAACCCTCTTGGCTCAACCGCTCCCTTCCCCCGCCCCACTGCAATTTCAGAGAAGAAATTCCTAGTAAAGCCCATTTCAACAATCAGTTCAAGACAAATATAGGTCCACTGAGAATTATAAATTACAACAAGGGATTCTCAAAAGGATACTCAGAATTTAAAAACATCTATGGTTTTCTAGCTTCTGGAATGTTTTGGCTAACATTTTGAATGCATCACATCTCATTAATTAAAGTCACTTCCTCAGTTTGGTTGACAGGGCAGAGGAAGATGACAAAGTTCACAAAAGTCCCTACTGAGTATCAAGGACCAACATAAAGAGCCTAGCTCTGTGTCTCCATGAGTTGGTGAAGGGTTGCGAAATTTTCTCGGGACACATATATAGGAATTCAGGCAGTCACACACACCATCAGTTCATTCCCAAATAGGCATGTTGCTAGAGGTGTTTGAATTCCCTCTTCATTTTTCTTTTTTTAAATTTATTTTGACATCATTGTTCACTTTTAAACTCCCTCTTCCATTTTTCTCTCCATTTTCTCCAAAGCTAATATCCTGCTATTTTCATGGTGATTTATAAAAGTTAATAGGACAGGACTTCTTTACTCCTCCACTGGTTCTGCTCTACATCTGCAGCAGACTCCCACCTCACGTATAACTGACACGCGTGAAATAGAGAAGAGAGAACACTACTTCAGTAACATGGACATTTCTCAGCTGAAAGGAGAGAGTCTGGCAACTAAAAACATCAACACTTTCTGAAAGGTGTTTACTATACTTACAAAAATGATCTAAGAGTACCGTCACTGAAACTTTCATTACTTAATGTCTACTAACCAACAGAGCAACAACTTCTGTGTCTCTCTGTCTCTGTCTCTGCTCTCTCACCCCCTCCCCCTATTGGGTGTTTGTGTGAGTGGAGGTGGAGGAGGGAGGATTAGGAAAGGAGGAAGAGGATTAAAGGAGGGGGGGTGGGGGCAGGGAAGAAGGGTCCCCACTCTACTCCACTAGATTGATTCATCAAACAGACCTTATTGTATTTGTCAGTTTCCACAGCCTACTGATCAGTCAGTATTGTTAAGAAAATACAATCCGAAATAATGTTGATTTTACTGATTCCCACACTTGTTATCCTGAGCACTTTTCACGCTCTAGGCAATGGATTAAGGCTACAAATGACAAGAGGCTTGTCTTTCTTCCATGGATTATTCTCTATAGACATTCATTCTGCAGAGGAATTCATGTCACTTTGGGATTACCTAAAGGATTGGACTAATGAATTATCCTATTGAAATATCACATATAATTTGTTTGAATACTTTAAATAGTTGCAATGTTTTCATTAATATATATTAAAATGTCTTTAAATATTTCTTTTTTTCCCCTCTAGCTCTTGTTACCTAAGTAGGAGAGCAAGTTTATATTTGTCTAAACTAAACAGGATAAGCAAATTTAGAAATGTATCCATTACACTTGCGTAATGTCTAATCCTGAAACATTTTGATGTGTTCCAGGAAAAATAAAAGGTTGTAGGTAAAATTCAGATAAAAGAAGTCAGAATTGACTCCATGGGGAAGAAAGAAATTCAATCTGGATTTTGAACCACAAAATCAGGACACAGTTATTTCATTCTGGAAAACAAATAATTTGATGTTGAAGCCAGGAATTTAGTAGCACAGACACCCCTATGTTTATATACACAGACACATAATAATAAAAAAAAAACTTTTATATTTATATTTGATATATTTTAACTACCCAAATTTTTCATGATTTTTGGATCTTTTCAGAGGTTTGAAAGTTCAACAAATTCACATTTACATTTCTTTTCTATAGATTTCTTCTATTTAAAAATGTGAAATATTAAGTTTTCTTAGGCAAGCATAATTGTCTTAAACTAATTAAATTATAAAATTGTAGGAAATTGAAGCCACACATAGATATTTTAACTGTAATTTAATATAAGAAGAAGAAATTACAACCCTAAGGTACTAAAGATAGTATTTACAATTTTATATTTTTACTGCTTTCCCAATTGACTTTGGGTAGGGTTAAATAAAATCATTTTCAAATTTTTCTTAATCCCCCAAACATGTTAGGGATAACAACTGAGACAGAGGAAGGCAGGGGTGGGCCTTGGTCAGAATATGACTACATGTGTCAATGGTAGATTTTGCCCTCCTCCTTCCCCCAGCCCCACAAGGAACATCACTCCCTACTCTAACAATATGTGGCCTAACCACTGATGCAATCAAGTCTGTGCTATTTGCTACCTTAGCCAACTGATTTTACTACATCATATACTACTTTTTAAAAGTCAGAAATATTATCTGAACCTTTTAACACTGAATTTTGCTTAAAATAGAGTGAATAACTTTCTTTCTTTTTTCAAAGCAGTCTATTTTCAATTATTTTCTCATCCACAATCTAATCACAGTATATAATTAACTACTTGCAACTGAGTTCCTACTATCTTCTTAAATTTCAAGCTTTCAGTTGTGATTAACTCTTATTACAGTGTCAAATTTGAGCAGGTGCTTAATATGATGATCATGCTGTTGTATACATTTCTGTCAAATAAATCAGTAGTTTTTAGCCTCACCCTACTCCATATTGAGATGGATTACAAAGACTTTCAAGTATAAAACTAAGAGTGACAGTTTTCTGGGTGGCGTGCTTGATTTTCTAGAGAAACGACACTTTCCACTTCACAACAGGTTGGTTAACTCTTGCTATACCATAGAGTAATAGAAGATACATAGTAAATCATTTCTTCACTGGAAATATGTTTTTGACCTTTTCAGGTAGTAGATAAAACCAATGTGTATATATTTTAAATGTCTACTCTGTATTTTGTTATTTATTATGAAACAAATTGTGATGACAATAAACATTGTAATTTAAGAGCATACATTACTCTAGTTCTTGAGGTAATATTCCAAGTGCTTCACCAGATTATATATCCTGAATCTTTCTGTGGGTGGTTGTGGAAACATGCGCAAGAAGAAATAAAAGATATATGTGCATTAAAAAATGTATGCGTATAAAAGAATAAAAAGGAGAAATACAGTTTAGACGTATATAAAAGAGTTAGTGGATCAGGAGTACTTGAAATTTATTGTATACCTCGTTGGCAAATATTGTGCCTCTGTGGGTCCCCCAGGAAGATGTAGAATTTTCCTCTATCCCTGTTTTCACTAGACTCTTTGCCTTTCCTGGTTAGATAAAGTTCCTTCCCATTAAAGAGATGCGGCTGGCAGAACCCATGTAGAAAGGCAGGGCAGGGTTTGGGCTGACCCTCTCCCTGTCCTATAACAGTACCAACGGAAGATTACCTCTCTATGATAAATGACTGAATTAAGAATTTCAAAGTGAGTATATTGGAAGAAAACCATTACTAAAAACAGGCAAATTTCAGTACCCTTCTCAAGGTGCTATCTAATTAAGTAAATAACAACAAACCTATATTAGTTTCCATCCAACATCTGCTATTTCCTGTTTTTTTTTCTTCAAGGGAATGCTTCATGAATATATGAGAAAGGTCTGTGATCAACAGAATTATATCAAGTACGATAGTGGAACATTTGCCCTTGCTTTGACATCTCATGTTGAAAATTCATTTTTAATGAGGGTTTTTCTGGTACAGGGAATCTGAACCTTTTTTTTTTCCTGAAAAAGAAATCGTGTGGGTGAAAACATTCTTTAGAAGGTCAGAAGATATCCTATTAATTGGGAAAACTAAGTAGTTGATGTATTATTTGTTCTAGCCAAAAATGATAGCTATTTAGGAACTACTATGGTAGTGGCTAAGAAGTGGGGGTGGCAGGTTAAAAGCAGTATTTCAGAAATTAAGTTAAACTTTTCACATTCTGACCCTTTTGAATGTTCTAAGTATAAGCAACATGTAAAAGCATGAGTTAAAGGAGGAATTGGTAAAATGCAATGGGAATTCAGTCTCTAGGGAAGCATTAACTCTTGCCTTTCCCTCCTCCCTCCACCAAAATAGAGATTTCTGTAAAACAAGCTCATCTTTCCTCTGGATTGATTCTATAACAGTTTGAAAAAAAAAAGTTGCATATATTCTCTTTTGACAACAATGTCCATGACACAAGGACTCAAGA